TAATTAATAAAATATATTTTAAATATATGTTTTTTACATAAATCAGCAGGATCGGCCAATATAGCTACTTCACCCAGAATTTCATAAATTTCAACAGAATGTGTCGATTCAGCCGATTCAGATGATTTTGGTGTTACCAAACAGGCTCTTATGTGATGCAAAATTAAAACAAACTTGGTCTAATATAAAGTCGTTTGATAATACTAAAAACAGTCGAATCATCTGATTCTACTTTAATGAATTAAATCTATTTGATTGGGCTGAATTGACGGAGACTCTCGGCTTATGAAAACATAAAATAAAATATACGGAGTACTACGTATATCATTAATAAAATCAAAATAAAAATTATATGAAAAATATTTAAAACAGACTTCTACATAAGCATCCCAACTAAACATAATTGTTTTTTAACGAACTAAACATAATTGTTATGAACCCGATTTTAAAGAATTCACATAAAAAATTCTTAATTCATCTCACATACTTTAAAATTTAAATTACTCTATTAAGCATCTCAAAACACCTTTTTTTTAATATTTCTCATTCAACGTGGCATGAAATAGCTATTTTAAATACAAAATTTTAATATTCTCAGACGACTTTATATTAGACCAAGTTTATAAAATAACTTTGAAGAACAAAATTAATAGGAATTTGGCTGGTTTATCTGTTAGGTGGGCAAAACACGAATGCTTTATTTCTTCAATAGAATGTAATAAAAATAAAAGGTATAAAAAGTAATTAAATAATTGATATAAAATATAGCCTATGTGTAGGGATGGCTATTAATTGTTGTGGTTCGGATTGATGAATTTAATAACTATCAAAACTAATAAGTAATATGTAATAAGCTCTCAAAAAGTTACTCCGTACCAAATAAGGTGGATTCTATCCTACAATCTTTTGTTTCCATATCAATAAGCAGTAAAAAATAGAATGTAATAAAAAATAAAAGGTATAAAAAGTTACTACGTATTAAATAATTGTTATATATTGACATGGCAGGATCGATTATGTGGCACGTCGTATGATCTTAAAAAATTCCACTTATATATATATATATATATATATATATATATATATATATATATATATATATATATATATATATATATATATATATATATATAGGGGATGGTTCAAATACAAAGACATCATCCCATGCAAAGTGAGAATGAATCTTGTACATTCATTTCCACATCTAATGGCTCAAAATGAGCCAAAAATGCACAAAATTCGACCAAAATCGCGGTGGCAATTTCGTAAATATGTTGCACTTTTTCGTTATAGCGAAAATGTGCAACAGAAACACGCAAAAGTGCAAGCGAAACATGCAAAAGTGCATTTCTTCGCACTTTGCACGGGAAGAGGTCTTTTTATTTGAACTCTTCCCTATATATATATAGGGGAGGGTTCAAATACAAAGAGGTCTTCCCATGCAAAGTGAGAATTAATCTCATGCATTCATTTTACAGATCTAATGGCTCAAAATGAGCCAAAAGTGAACTAAATTTGATAAAAAACGCGGTGGTAATTTCGTAATTAAAACGAAGTTTTTTGCCATTGCGAAAAGTGCAACAGAAACACGCAAAAGTGAAACGCGGTAAGGAAAAAATGCAATCATTCGCACTTTGCACGGGAGAACCTCTTTTTATTCGATCTATTCCCTATAGGGAGGGGGAGGGTTCAAATACAAAGAGGTCTTCCCATGCAAAGTGAGAATTAATCTCATGCATTCATTTTACAGATCTAATGGCTCAAAATGAGCCAAAAGTGAACTAAATTTGATCAAAAAACGCGGTGGCAATTTCGTAATTAAAACGAAGTTTTTTGCCATTGCGAAAAGTGCAACAGAAACACGCAAAAGTGAAACGCGGTAAGGAAAAAATGCAATCGTTCGCACTTTGCACGGGAGAACCTCTTTTTATTCGATCTATTCCCTATAGGGAGGGGGAGGGTTCAAATACAAAGAGGTCTTCCCATGCAAAGTGAGAATTAATCTCATGCATTCATTTTACAGATCTAATGGCTCAAATTGAGCCAAAAGTGAACTAAATTTGATCAAAAACGCGGTGGCAATTTCGTAATTAAAACGAAGTTTTTTGCCATTGCGAAAAGTGCAACAGAAACACGCAAAAGTGAAACGTGGTAAGGAAAAAATGCAATCGTTCGCACTTTGCACGGGAGAACCTCTTTTTATTCGATCTTTTCCCTATAGGGAGGGGGAGGGTTCAAATACAAAGAGGTCTTCCCATGCAAAGTGAGAATTAATCTCATGCATTCATTTTACAGATCTAATGGCTCAAATTGAGCCAAAAGTGAACTAAATTTGATCAAAAACGCGGTGGCAATTTCGTAATTAAAACAAAGTTTTTTGCCATTGCGAAAAGTGCAACAGAAACACGCAAAAGTGAAACGCGGTAAAAAAAAGTGCAATCGTTCGTACTTTGCACGGGACAACCTCTTTTTATTTGATCTATTCCCTATAGGGAGGGGGAGAGTTCAAATACAAAGAGGTCTTCCCATGCAAAGTGAGAATTAATCTCATGCATTCATTTTACAGATCTAATGGCTCAAAATGAGCCAAAAGTGAACTAAATTTGATCAAAAACGCGGTGGCAATTTCGTAATTAAAACGAAGTTTTTTGCCATCGCGAAAAGTGCAACAGAAACACGCAAAAGTGAAACGCGGTAAGGAAAACGTGCAATCGTTCGCACTTTTCACGGGAGAACCTCTTTTTATTTGATCTATTCCCTATATATATAGGGGATAGTTCAAATAAAAAGACATCTTCCCGTGCAAAGTGCGAAATTTGCACTTTTTCATGTTTCGCTTGCACTTTTGCTTGTTTTCGTTGCACTTTTTCGCGTCAACGAAAAAAATTGGTTTATTTACAAAACTGCCACTATGGTTTTGGCCGAATTTGGCCAAAATCGCAATGTTGAAAAAGTGCAACGGAAACACAAAAAAGTGAAAGTATACTCCCTCCATCTATTATAACTATTATATGTACAAATATACATAAATTATACTAGTTCTCCGTAAAAATATACTCCCTCCATCTCATTTAAACATTCTTACACGGTTTACGAAGTTTGACTGACCATAAAGTTAACTGATCCATGCCATTAGTAGAATTATTTTTAGAAAATAAAATTTACATATTCAGAAATTACATTAAAACCGCTATAAAGTCTGATCAAGAAAATTTAAATTTAATAAAAGTTGAATATATAAAATAAAAGATTAAGAAGAATGCACGCTAATCGGAGAATAGTGGACGAGAACCAAATGAGACAGAGGGAGTACTTCGTTTGAATATGGTTTTATACAGTTTCAGTTCCATTCAATTGAATATAAATATTTTTATACGGTGCTCTCATTTTGAATTGCTTGAATTTGGAGCACTTGTTTGTTAGTGACGCTAAGAAATCAAATTTATCATTCATTAAAATAAAAATTGAGTATTCCAAGGGAAAACACCAAACATATCTTAGCAAGTATTTGTGATTGTTTCTATTTTAGAAAAGTTCTTTTAGAAAAATTACTATCGTACTCCCTCCATCCTATAATTAACTTCGGTTTTGACTGAGCACGGGGATTAAGATGGTGGGATTTGTGTGGTGGAGAGTTGTGTAGAGGAGATGGAAATGTGTAAGAATGGTTGTGAACCACATATTCTTTACCAAAAAGGGAAAGAGGAGATAAATTTGGGACGGGCCGAAAAGGAAAGAATGAAGATAATTTCAGGACAGAGGGAGTAATATAATACCCGATAATGTTTTTGAAAAATGTTTTTGTAAAAAAAAGTTAGTATTATTTACCGAGAAAAATGTTTTTTATGTAATAAAACAGTGAAAAATAGTTTAAATCACCATTCAAATACTTCCAGCTTTTATTACTTATGTACTAGGCTACTAGCTTAAATTAAGTAAAAAAGTCACTTCAAAATAATTTTAAATCAAAAGCCAAAAAAGCAATTTTTCTAAATAAAAAACTAACTCACACGAGTAGCTCAGTTAGAGGTAGAAAAGTTGGAAGAATGACAAATGATCGAAACTCACAACGACCGTGTAGAGATTGCAGCTCATGCGTGCTGGATTGTACCTCTGATGCGCACGGATATATACCATCATTGGATCGACTAAATCATTGTGACTTAAACCTCCCAAAAGTCTCATCGGATTGGGGCATGGGGACCTTGAGGTTGGGGATTCAACCCTTAGGAAGAGTATAAATTAAAAACTAAAAATCCTTTTTTTTTAGATTTTGCTAACACTCATAGAAAAAGAAAAAGCTACACTAGTAGGTAGGGGCAATCTATTCTCTAGATGAGATATAGCTTTATTAAAAAACAGGATAAAATTTAGGGCCGAGCCACAACACTAGGTCGGACTGAATCTCTACAAATAGGAGTATTTTTTGGGGAAAAAAATTACACCATTTTTTTTAGACTACAAATATACTCCGTATTTTTTAAATTTGGAAAGGGTCACGCCTATATCGCCCCCTAGATGCGCCTTGATAACACTCCATTCATCGGGGCTCCAGCACACTTCAATAGTTAAATAAAGGAAAAATTGATTGTAATAATCTCAACTATTGGCGGTCCGCTCATAATAATCATAACTATCAATTATTTCAGAATAATCCCAACTTTAATGGACCTTCCGCCAATAATGGTCGGACGTGACCGACTATAAATAAATTTCTATAGTTTCTAAAGAAATATAGCAGGTAATCCCTATAAAGAATCCCAAATTTTATTTTTTACGCTTAATTTCTATTAAAAATTCACTTGTTAGAGCAGGTAATATACGGTCATGGACTATTATTGGTGGACGGTCCATATAGTTGAGATTATACAAAAATAATCAATAGTTGGGATTATTGTTAGCGGACCGGCAATAGTTGAGATTATTATTTTCAATTTTTCCTTAAATAAAAGGTTCCGGCCTAAATACTTATACAGACTCCATACATTGATAAATCCATATCTCAATTGGATTTGAACCCAAATCTTACTAGGTGAGTTGGCTTTATTTACCAAAGAAAGATGACTCCTATTTAAGGATTCGATCGTTCCCTCATCAAGGGCGGCAGCAATCTAAATACTAAGCCTTAACACACGTTGTTATGTTTCAACAATATTCTTCTTCTTCTTCATCCCAACCAACCAATTACCATTTCAGGAACTCCAGCTCCAGAGATGTGATGAGAGGATTCGCTTCTCAGCAGCCACCAGCTGCGACGGCGGCGGCCATTTTCCAGTCGCCGCCTTTTTCTGGGCCGCTCATTAACCACCAATCTCTCCCTCCTCCCCACTACTTCTCATCACCACCTTATAATCAGCAGCCGCCACTCCTCCCTCTTCCTGTTTTGGGCCCCCAGACCCGGACTCTTTCTTGCCCGCAGCCCACCACCAATAATTCCACCAAAAGGAAGCCCAAGAAAAAACACAACAAAAACCCACGACAAGAAAATGTCAAGGCGCAAGCCGCCGCCGTATTGCAGCCAAAACGCCGTCAGGTTCCGCCCGATGACGGTGACGGCGTTTCTGATCATCATGTCCGATACGACGTCGTATCTCCTCATCCGAGCAGTTTGCCTTTGCCCACTTTTTCAATGAGGCCACCACCACCAGGATGCATAAATTAAAGTTGTTAGCTGCTCCGTCCCGGCGGCAGCGGCGGTGGTTTCCGATCCGATCGTGCATAATAATAATTTGTAGAATATAATATGTTTTTAATTATCTGCATATTATTAATGTGTTTGTAGTAAATCAAAGATGGAGTTGGATGACTTCAATTCGTATCAGCCGGCCCAAGCCACTGTACCACTATATTTTTTCATTTTGGGAGGATTGGCTGGTCGGTGCATCTGTTTTTTTTCCTGCGAATGGTCGGTGCATCTGTTTTTTTTTCCTGCAAATGGTCGGTGCATATATGTTACTCCGTATTAGTTAATTAAATGATTGTTACATGAATTATACGTTGTCCGATAGTACTTTTTTCTCGAGCACAATTTATGGATATGCTGTTTTTCTCAAAGGTCAAAAGAAAGAATACTCAGTCCACACTGATACAACTCGTATTTTATGGTGCTCTCAGGTCTGCCTTTTTTTGATAAAATAATACTGCTTCCCTCCCAATTTGATAGTCTCATTTCTTTTGGACACAAGTTTTAATAAAGTAATTGAAAAGATAAAAGTTGTGGTTGAGATTTGAGTATAATAAAGTGAAATGATATGTACCACATCTTTCTTTCCAAAAGGGGAAACAGGACCATCGTTTTGGGTCATGTTCAAAAGGAAATACAGGACTATCATTTTGGGATGTAGAGAGTACTCCATAGAAAACTCCATAAGAAAAGTTGACTCAATAGCCATCTAAAAGAAGTTATTAAAAACTCCATACTTATTAGAATGGAATGATGCGTGTGTGTTACTCTCGATCAGTGGCAGTTCCTATATTTTTCTTTAAGCATTAAACTACATAGAGCAAAAAGCTACCTCCGTACGTATGATTTTATTATGCAAGTATTAAACTACATTTGGTATTAGAGATATGGTAGTCGAATGTTCGCGCACTCCGTCACGTTCGCCGGTACATCGTGGGCGGAGCCCGACGTGGAGAGGCGGCCGCGAGGTGGTGGTGCAGCAGCGCGTCATCCACCAGGCTAGCAGCACCGTTGTCTACCCGACGTTGACGGCGAAGAACTACTTCGAGTGGGCGCTTATCATGAAGATGAACATGGAGGCCCAAAGTGTGTGGGACGTCGTCGAGGGTGGCAGGAGCTTCACTGAGGATAGGGTGGCACTTGCGGCAATTCCGCGAGCCGTACCACAGGAGATGCACTCCACGCTTGCCGTGAAGGCGACAACAAGGGAGGCATGGGACGCCATCAAGTCCATGCGTGTGGGCGATGAGCGTGTTCACGTGAGGTCAAGGCACAAACTCTACTCAAGGAATTTAATGTCGTCTGCATGTGGAGCGGCGAGACGATCGATGAGCTCGCCATGCGCATGAACGGGCTCGCCAACAATGTTCGCACCCTCGGTGAGACCCTCGAGGAGGTGAAGATCGTGAAGAAATTACTCTACATCGTGCCATCCAAGTACACCCAGGTAGCTATAGCAATTGAGCAACTTCTTGATCTTAAATCCATGTCCATGGAGGAGCTTGTGGGAAGGCTCAAAACGGCAGAGGATAGGAGTGATGCAGATGACGGCATCGACAACGATGACCATGGCGGTGGAGGTCGTTTGCTCCTCACGGAGGTAGGGGCGGCCATATGGGGAGTTGGCCAAGGCAAATGCCTTGGGCCTCATATTTTAGTGGGGCCTCAAAAAAATTATTTATAGTATAAATTATCTATTTTAATTTTAGTAGTTTGGAAGCAAAGATATCATGTTTTTGATATATTGGTAGCCCAAAGATAGATAAAGTGATTTTAGCTCTAATTAAATGGTAGGCTCGTAGCAACTACAGAACTACTCCAACTAGCCACCATATTAATGAATTATTGAAGTAATGTTTAATTAGTTTGATGGTCGTAGTTATTTAGTTATTTTATATTTTCACTGATTATTACGGAGTATTATATTTATGAACTTTAGTTTTTTGTTGACTGCTATATTTTTTATATTTTTGTAAGTACGTTACTGGGGAAAATTTAGACGTACTGCTAAGATGGTCTCATATCAAATTTAGTAAAGTTTGTGTGACTTTAAATCAATCTTACTTTATTCTTACTTTATCATCAATTCAATATCAAAATTTTTTGGGAATAAGGCTTGGATGTTGTTGTTGTTGTTGATGGCTATTTTGTCATAAAAGAGTTAACTATATTCTAAAATTAAAATGAGAATGAGAACTTTTTAAATGAAACTTCCAAAAGAGACAAATGATAATCTTTACTTGGGGCGGAGGAAGTGTAAATTGTGGTCCATTTTGTGTATGTTTACATTTAAATTTTGATGTTCACTACTCTTTGAATGTGCTTTTTTTCTTTTATTGTGTATTTTTATTCAATTTATCTTTTTTTTGTCTTTTGTGTTGCAAAAATCACATTAATATAACATGTCAATATCAAGTGTTTTTCGCCTGGGGCCTCCGGAGTTCTAAAGACACCTCTGCACGGAGGAGTGGCTTTCTCGCTACTGCGGCCGCACGAGAAAGAAGAAGAGTACGTTCGACATCCGTAAGGTTCGATGCTACAATTGTCAAGAGTATGGGCATTTCTCTGAGGATTGCACAACACCAAGGAACGAGCACGCACATCTCGCCGCCGTGACCATCGACAACAAGCCGGCACTGTTGTGATGGTCCGCGAGGAGTTCAAAATAAAAGACAACAAGGTTAAGGGGATGATTGTTGGAGTTAACCTTTTTGTTTATAATTTCATCATGTTTAATTTAGTTTATTTTGAGTCATTGATACATTTTAGACTAGAGTGTTAGTGCACGACGGGATGAGACATGCCAAGTAGTGTGCATCGCATGGCACTGTGCTGTGTTGTAGCAGCACTTAAGTGTGTTTGTGCCATTGCATTAGTGTTAGTCTAATTTGGGTCAATTAGTTAAGTTGCACATAAGTTATTTGTTACGCATTTATGTAAGGTGACAACTCTGGTACCTTTCTAAAAAAAATAGGGTACCGTACCTATTATTCATTTCATTAGACCACATCACTTTATCATTTTTAATTTAAATTTAAATAATTCAACTGCTACATTCTTATTGGTCCATGTGGACAAAGGTATGTGATAGAGTATATCTAGAGAGAAGTGAGAGCTAGAGAGAGAAGTGCAATAGTATGCTTCAATAGAATGAATTTCTAACCCCTATAACTACTCCCAAAGGGAGAAAATACGGGCTGGGCTCCCAAGCCTTGGGCTTGGGAGGCCCATTTACAACTGGACCGCTACTGGGCCGAATACAAAGCCACTAATGGGCTGTACGAATGAGTAAGTATAAAATCCGGTTCTGTGAGGCCTTCGTGGCCGACGAGGGCGTGGCCGACGAGGGCACGGCCGACGAGGGCACGGCCGACGAGGGCGCGGCCGACGAGGGCACGGCCGACGAGGGCGCGGCCGACGAGGGCGCGGCCGACGAGGGCACCCGGGTTCTTTGGGCTCAGGACCATAATCTGAGTTGACACCTTTTCAGCCGACGAGGGTCCCTTGGCCGACATGGGCGCCACTCGGTGTCTTGTGCTTTCTGTTCTTCCGAGTATGTGGGTCAAGGGGCTCAGACCCATATACTCCATCAGGAGTCCCCCACTCTCTAAACTGAGACGTAGACGAAGTGAAGGAGAGTAGATTCTCGTGCTTTAGTGCTTTTGGCCGATGCGGGCATTCCCAGGCCGTTAGCTGTTGCGGCGTTGGCGCTGTTTCCATTTTGGTGATCCTGTTCTGTGCTTTGGCCGTTACCTGTTCCTTGCTGTGGGCGGGGGAGGCCGTTGCTTCCTTGATGTGTTCGTTTGGGGATGATAAGTGTCCTGCTTCAATGGTGGCCGTTGAAGACACGCTTCCCTTTCTTGGACGTTGGTGGTTGAAGTTTATGTTTGGGCCGATGAGGCCACTGAGTTTGAACCCTGCTTTGAGGACGATGGCGTCCTTTCCTTTGGGTGGCCGATGAGGGTGTTTGCGCACCCCTTTTGGCCGTCGCTGATTGGCTTTCGTGTTCTTGGCCGAAGAGCCCATCATGATTAACTGTTGGCGGAGGACGATGTGTGTCTTTGCCTTAGGTGGCCAGTTGGCCGTTGCTGATGACGTTGTGTGCTTTTGGCCGACGAGGCGCAGTGTGATACATGGCCGATGTGACCATGCTCTGTGGTTACATTTGTGTTCTTTGTATTGTTCCTTTTTGTTTTGTTGAGGCCGGTGTAGTCCCCCAGTCCCCCACTGCTTCAGACCGAAGAGTGTGAGGGGTGAAGGAGTTGCTTGAGTCCCTGGCCGAAGCGGCCTCTCCGTAGTCCCCTTGAATCCAACCTTCATGACGATTTTCTGGCCAAGGTAACCCTGTGGGAGAACCCTTGTGCGCAGATCGCTTGTAGAGAGTTATCATCAAGGGTCGTTATGGGGAGCCGATGGGCGTTCATGTCATTCCTGGCCGTTGTCATCTCTTTGTTGGCATTTGTGAACTTGGAAAGCAAATAGGACGTTGTGGGCGCTTGCTGACACTCGTGAAGCCGGCAAGTGTGTAGGCCGTAGAGTCTGTTTTGCCAGTGGGCTGTTGATATGTGGGTTGGGCCTGGCCCGTTGGTGACGTGGTGGCCTCCCATTGGTGGCCGTTGATGTGGCCATTGGGAGGGTGCCACGTGTAGTGACCGTTGGGTGGGGGGGTTCTATAAATACCCCTCCCCCTCCGACGAGAAACCTTATTTGCATTCCGAATTGTCGAAGTGCTGGCCAATTTTCTAGAGAAATAAACTCCCAAGCTTGTTCTTCGTGTTCTTCGTGTTCAAGGTTAGTGTTCATCGCAATCTTCTACACTTTTCATACTTTGCTTCCTAGGCTAGTGATCTAGTGTTAGGCGTTTGAACACCCTTAGATCCTAAGTTATTCTCCTTAGGCTTGTAGTAGTAGTTATGATGAAGAGCTTGAACGAAGACTACTATCCGTACGACGACCAGCCCTCCACTAGGTCACTCGACTATGAGGTGCTCGAGGAGTTCGAGGAGGAGATACAACACTTAAGTCCTTACAAATCCGGATAGCCGGTGGACGACGAAGTCGAGGACGAGGAGTCCGCCTCGTCTTCAAAAGGTGAGGACGCAGGTGCATCCCGAGTGGTGGACGGGGCGTCCACTTCCGATGTCATTCCATGCCCGAGACCGGTGTCTGCCGTGAAGGGAGCAGATAAGCCGAAGAGAGTGAGGAGACCGAAGAGTGGGCCGGGCATCTCCTACCTAGATCTCACAAACATCTTCCTGATTAAGCCGGAGAGCAGCGCGGCCGACTACCTTGTTGCCCAGATGTACGTGGGGTCGTTCGGGCGGGTTAGGGCACCCAGGCCGACGGACCATGTTCTTCTTCCGCCACCGGGATACTTTGGAGTATAC